AGTAATCATTTTCAGTTAGCTGAATTTCAGCAAATGTGCAGCTGTACTCTCATATCTGCTACTTCCTACTGTTGCAGATACAATAGAGATACTTGAATAACATGTTCATGTTTCTGTCTCCAGACCACGTGTTTCTGAAGAGTCAAGGGAAACCCACTTTTGGTCATCAGAAGAATTCAATGAACAGTGGCATATCTTATCAAAATCAGTGAATTTTCAGAAAAGACATTAATACTGGATTAGATTAATAAGTGTAGAAGTTGCTTAAACTGAATATAGAACCATCTTGAACTCTTCAGAAGAATATATTTTAGACCATAAAGCACCAAGGATGAGGTCAAAGTGCAACCGTGATAGTACAGCATATAGATTGAGAAGGAGCAGTTCATTCCTTCCCCAGAAATGCTACTCAACCCAGGGCCAAATGGGACTTTATTTCTATCAAGGACTAGCATGTGAGTTGGGTAGAGGGTGGGGTCAATGGAACTTTGCTTTCTTCGACTAATACCAATGAAGCCTTTACCCCAGTGTATATGGGAGATGAAAGAAACATGTAGATAAACTCCTCTGGGATGTATATTTTCCACAGAAATCTGGGACCACTATGAAACTGGCCATTAAAATGGCCTAAGGATTCACACAAGTTGTTCTACCTTGAAGACCACACTAAATAAATAGAACCCAAGAGAGACTTACTCCAAACCATCAAAGAAAGAAGCCTTGACTTTCAGGCTTTCAGAAATACAGTGTTTATTTCATTTACATCACCAAACAAGAGGGAATAATTACTTTGGACATGTATTAAATTTTTATAAGTTCCCAGTGTTGTGTTTTATTTGTTTTACCAGCCTTGCCTCTATTTATACCTCTATTTCCCTTCAGTGATTAGCAATAAGACTTAACCTTGATGTGTGTTTAAAGAGCAGGAAGGAAGGGATTATGTTGCGTGATAGAAGAAAGGGGAGACGTGGGGAATTTAAATCATTGGCACAGCAATATCCTGGATGCAGGTATGACTGCCAAGTACTAGAAGTACCAACGTACATCTTAAAAATACACCTTGTTTTCAAGGAGATGACAAGAATCAACAACTGTAGTTCAATATAGCATTTTGAGAGAAATAATCAGAGGGTGATGTGGGGGAAGAAATGAAAGTCAAATGTCTTTGACAGTGGGAGGGAACTAAACAGACTAGAGATCACCTCCTGAACTGAGTCCTGAAAGAAAAGGAGGACTAGCCTTGGGAAAATGGGGGAAGGGAAAGCAGCCAGGCGTTTCTGGGACAGAAGAGATCTGGAAGTACTAAAACATGAACTAACATGAACTAGACATTTCGGAAACCCTAAGTATGAGAAATATGAAAAATGGTCTGGGGAAGTAGGGTAAGATGAAGCTGAAGAGACCAGAGAGAGATCCTGAAATTCCTTATATGTACACTAAGCGAGAAAGTTTAGCCATTTTCCTGAAAATAAGGGGAATCTTTTCGAGATTTAATTAAGCAGGAAAGTAAGGTAATTAGATCTTTTAGAAAGACCACCCATTCTGAAAGGCAGTTTGACAACTTAGCAAAATCCTTTAAAATATAGTATTTGTGAAATCAGTGTCTCTCCTATCTGAAAAGTAAAATGGGGACTTAGTATGTAGGAGTCTTTTTCCCAGCCTGTAGTCAAAAAGGAGCATGGACAACCTGTCTTACACAGAAATGAGGTGGTGGTCTTGGCTCTGAAATATTCTTGCTTATTCAGATGACGGTCCACCAAAATGAAACCAAGCAAACAAACAAAAACACCTTTCTCTGACTAGTCAAGCTAAGACAAAGTTCCCAAAGGTTTTCTCTTATATTTCTTGTCATTCAATGTGAAGAAGAAAAAGTGCTTGGTCAAATTGCTTTCCTACTGAGCTTGTCTACTCACCTAAAATGTACCTGTACCTTAACTCTATCACGTAGACTTACAGATTGCTTGGAGGCAGGACACATAGTGAGTATAGAATACATAGTGGTTTAAATAGTATCTAATGAACGTAAATGAACTTAAAATGAGTGTGCTGTATTTTTCTCCTTCCCCATTTCTTACTGAAATCTAAGTCCTTGTGATTCATACATTATAAACGCTCAGGGTAAGTTTTGGTGTTGAAGAAAACAAATCAGAGAGACAGAAGTGCACTATTCTACAATATATTTCATGTGTTTCATTATTTTGCAGCCTTAATTCATAACCACTTTAAAATGTTTGATTTGGAAGATCATTCACAGTATATTAAGTAGAAAAGGATGCAGAACTATATATATAATGTGGCCTTGGTTTTCTAATTAAATATACTCTATAAACATTTGCATAAGTACATTTACATAAACATTTCCTTGTATAGTTCTATGCATGCATACAAAATGTTCTAAAGAGATTTGGGTTGTGACTCTCTTAGATTGCAAGTCATTTTAAACTTTATTTGTTTCAAATCTTAATCCAGTTTTCTGCAAGAAGCATGTATTTTATAATTTGATAAACCGATAAATTTAAAATATTGTTTTACAGTAATGTAGAGAAATGACAGGAGAGGATACCGACCATTTCAAGACTGATACAGTAATCCAAGGGAGAAAAGTGAGCACCAGAATGCAGGGATGATGACAAACTTGAGGGGGAGATTTAACAAAGCAGAACCAGCAGAAGTTGGGGTTGGGGATAAATAATGGGGCTGGGGCAGAATAAGGGAGGACGGTCTAAGATGACGGCTTGGATGATTGTGTCATGCCCTGCGGAGGAACTCTAGTAGACTAGCAGGTTTGGAGTGGGGAGAAGATGAGATGATGTATTAGGGACTTCTCAGTTTGAGGTGCATGAGGGCCTGTAGACAAAGACAGCCAACAGCCAACAGGAGACAGGTCTGGAACCTTAGATAACAAGTGAGAATACAGGTTTGGGAGTCATGTAATCACTAATGGTTTCCATCAGGAGTGCCATGGAGAGTGTGCAGAGAAGCCTGCTGACCTGAGGAGGAAGTTCTAGGGAAGGGTGAGATGAATAAAGGGAGAGGAGGCTAAAGAACAGGGAGGAAATCAGGAGCGCGTAACTTAGGGAAACCGAGGGCAAATTTCAAAAAGAAATAGGGCCAAAGATGAGAAATTTCAGGTAAGGTTAAAGACCGTACTCTTTAAAATGCTCCTTAAGACCTTTTACGAACTTAATGAAGCTTTTTTGGTGGAGTGGTTCAAGGGGAAGACTTAATGCAACTGTCTGAGGAGGAACCAGAAGGATCAGAAGTTTTGTTTTTTGTTTTTTAAAGATTTTATTTATTTGACAGACAGAGATCACAAGTAGGCAGAGAAGCAGGCAGAGGGAGGGGGGAAGCAGGCTCCCCGCTGAGCAGAAAGCCCAATGCGGGGCTCGATCCCAGGACCCTGAGATCACGACCTGAGACAAAAGGCAGAGGCTTTAACCCACTGAGCCACCCAGAGGCCCCAGGATCAGTGGTTTTATCAGTGAATGTAGATCACCCCCTCGGGAAGCATAGGAGTAAACAAAGGATGATGGCCCCATAATTAGGTGGGAACATATGCAATTTTATATCTCCAAGACTCCATTTCCTCGCCCTGAAAAGGATAAAAATAATTCCTGGCTAGCAGTAGTATCATGAGGGTTAAAATCTATCACTAGTTGAAAGTATTCGTGTTCTCTCTGAATCGATTTGTTGTCGCTGCTTGCCATGGTTTTTTTTTTTTTTCATGTTTTCATTTTCATATCTTAATCATCGAATTCAAGTGAATAGCAATGCACACACTTGACTGGCTTTGCATTTCCCTAACTCAAGTTTTTTAATTGTATCCACCTGAGTTCGATCTCAGAAAATATTAGTGTGTAATTCCGTTAGCGCTTAGAACAAGAACAGTTTTTGTCTGGGAATAAATGGGGTGAAGGCAGAACACTTCTCCTCTCACCCCACCTTATAAAATGAAGAAACAGCCTCAAGCAGAGATTCTAGGAACAAACCTTATTTGCTTTATGGATCAAACTGACCCACGGAAAATTCCTGTCCTGGATTAATTCAATATTCATACATTTCTTTAGATTCAACTCTCGAAATCTCTATCCACTTTTTTTTTTCTAAAGATTTATTTATTGGTCAGAGAGAGAAGGGGGTGGAGAGAGAGTGCACACGCACAGAAGCAGGGGGAGCAGCAGGCAGAGGGAGAAGCAGGCTCCTCACAGAGCAAGAATACCGATGCTGGGCTTGATCCTGAGGTCCTGGGGTCATGACCTGAGGTCACGACCTGAGCCAAAGTCAGAAGCTTAACCGAGTGAGCCACCCAGGGATCCCAATCCACTTTTCCTCATTTTTTAATCAAAGATTTCAAAAGACCAGACAAGTCTCTGTTTAAATGAAGTCACACAGCCATGCCGTGACATAACAATTGTTGCCAGCTCACGGGGCAAGAGGCAAAAGCAGGGAATGGCGAGTCCACAGTGAGGTTCAGGAAGCAGGTAACGACCTGCGGGTATTCTAGTCAAATCCAAGGCTCTAAGTTCTCAAATTTCCTAAGAACGCAGTGATAGAGGCCATACCCCAGGTTTTATCTCTCAAGCAACAAAAAATTCTGCAGGTAAGAACATGGGGCCTCATCCCTTTCCAGATAGTTCAACAGAAAAGCTCTGTAATGCAACCATTTCTAACCTAAAAGATAGGTTCAGAGAGTCATCGAAAACAAGACAAAACAAAATTAAAAAAAAAAAAAAACATATTAATCAAGGAAAAAGAAAGTACATCATCATTTTGGAAATTTTTAAAAAGTTAAATATGCCCTTAATTTAGCCTAAGCAGTGGAAATGTCTTGCGTATGTATGTGAGTTGTCTGTATATACACTTGTATTTTAAACTTTTGGGGGCTTATCCAGATATTCCAAGTACTAATCTTGGCAGGATTTCCCTTTAAGGATATCCTGCAGAGAATTTGTTCCTCACAATTTGACGTAAAAATTGACAGGGAGTGCTTTTTCAGCCCAGTAGGAGTCAGCTATGCGCACATCACAAGACTTGGAGGAAACCAACTCACTCCCCTATTTCCTTCTACAAAGCTGAAAAAGCTGCAGTTGGGAGGGACCCTCAGATAGCTCTGGTGGTCCATCTGTTCCTTTTGGAGTTGACATTTGAAAGTGTTGGTGGACAAAAATCATCATCATATATTCTCCTTTCATACTCTTTAAATCACAGGAAAAGGCAGCCTTGAGAAAAAGTAAGTTTTGTTTTCTTTTCTGTAATATTTCCTTTGTAGTTTTTTATGTGGCATTTCGGCTTTAGTTTTTTTTTTTTTTTTTTAAGTATGAGAGATTCTTATAAACTTTCTAGTGACTGCTTATGAGAAAATTCTTACTTGGCAAGTAAGTGCTTATCTTGATGTTTCTTAGAAACTTTTCAAAAGCCACTTGAGCCAACAGTTGTCAAATTTTATAAGATGAGATTTTCAGATGTCTCATTTCAATAATATGCATGCGGAGGTTACACAGTGGTCAGAGAACTCTTCCGAGTTGTCGCCTCTGTTCTGAAAGTGGTCTTTATACACGGGGGTTATCTGTAGCTTTGTTGCCGTGAAAAGGAGGTGGCAGGATTCTGGGGATTTACTTGGCTTAACTTATTTGAATGACTAACTTTATTACTGTGGTTATTTTATGGCTGGGTTTATATATCCACAGCACAATTCAAAGTCATTTACAGATTTTAAATATTAGTGAGATTCCTTCTATTTTCAAGAAAAACCTGCCTACTTTCCAGATGCAGGCTTAAACACCATTCCTAATGTGAGGTTTTCGGACATTGAACTGAAATGTCTGTGTCTGGCCCACACAAATATATAATCTAGTAGAGGAATCGAAAGCATTGCTTCCCGAAGCAAACGGTTACTGCAGCAAAAGCATGCCTCCCACATGTTTTTATGTTTTTTACCAGTATATAGTCAGACTCCCTTCAGAGTCTGTCAGCCATTTGAAAAACCAAATGCAACCCCTCAGCTGTCAGTCTGGGTTTCAGAAAGGTGGAAACTAAAAAGAATCATTAATAAAATTTGTAATCCTGATAAATAAAATGTAAGAAAATCCTCAAGTCACTTTAGCTGTCATTTCACATCCATAATATTGTCATGTATAAATTTTAGCGTTTTCATTAGCAAAGGCTATAGATGAATATTTAACACAAACACTGCAAAAATGTTTCATACATGGTATTTCTTACCACATTTGTTATGATATATGCCTGAAGCCAGACTCTGAATAGTTTGATGGGGAAGGTAAACACCCACGTCTATTTTCCACACTTGCTCTATTTCCACACGTTATCATTAGTTGCCAGTTCTGAGTCTGTTCTACCTAACCAAGAGGGGCACATTTGCGTCTTCATATCACATCACTTCACTGACAAGTTTACCTCTTATTTTTATTATACTTACCAACAACATTTTGAATAAAGGTGGATTAATTTGCGTTCCTTAGGCAAGCCTAGTAAGTTTCTACCATAATATTGAAAATAAATGTTCATCTAGAACACGTTGGAAAAGCTCTGATTTGTTTTTTATGTTTTCAATCTAGGAAACATGATTTCTTTAGAATTGAAAACCAAATCCTTGGGTTCGCATGGGGAGTTCTGAGTCAGATATCAGTTCAAGAAACTTGTATTTCTGTGCTCTCGTAATTGTCTTTTTCCTCTGTGATTGTCATAATTTTTCTTGGTTACCTTTTGATGCCCTTGAAATGATCAGCTTGGACATTTGTCTCCACAGATTACAGGTGTTCTTAAGAATCTGACAGAATCAGGGGTGCCTGGGTGGCTCAGTGGGTTGAGCCTCTGCCTTTGGCTTGGGTCATGATCTCAGGGTCCTGGGATCGAGCTCCGCATCGGGCTCTCTGCTCAGCGGGGAGCCTGCTTCCCCTCCTCTCTCTTCCTGCCTCTCTGCCTACTTGGGATCTCTCTCCCTCTGTCAAAAATAAATAAATAAAATCTTAAAAAAAAAATAAGAATCTGACAGAATCAGTGTACTCTCTTCTAAAAACAAACAAACAAAAAAGGCCTATTGCAAATAGATTTTTTCAGTGACATTTCTGGGGTTGAGAGACCCCTGAAATCTGTCCTTGAGTATTCTTGGAGGTCCTGATTATGAACTACTGTTTTCTGTGAAGCCAGAAACTTCATTTTTAGGCATACCTTGGTGCCAGTTGGTTCACCAAAATCTTCAGAAGTCTTAGGATAGAAGAACACCTGAACTGTCTCTTTAAACTGTCCTCACCTGAAGGCAGGTAAGGCTAAGGCAAGGATTTCAGTTTAAGGGTTTATTTTTAAAGCAGGTGCTTAGTTAATTCATGGCCATACTTGTCCTGAACAGCGGGTCATGGAAATAAAAGCGGAGTATTCAAGTAGCAGAACAGTTCCTTTTGTGGAGAACAAGACTTAGGATGGAAGGATTAACCCACTGAGGACCCCAGAATGTGGAATAAATGACTGTAGAGATGTCCTCCTCTTTCTCTGACCATCCTCCTAAATCTCCATACCTACCTATCAGTACACTGGAACCTAAAAGGGAAGAGCCAAACCAGTGCCCTAACAGGGCATATCTTACCCTTCAGGGCTCACCGTCTTCAACCTTCCCTTCTTTATTGGCTCCCTCCATCAGCACTTAAACATGCTCAAATTATCCGTCTTAAAATGCCTCTCCTTCATGACTGAGCTCTTACACTTCCCCTCTCCCTCAGCTTCATAGATCAAGCTCCGGAAAATTTGTCTACACTCATTAATTTCTACATCCTGAGTCTCACTTCTCAATCTATCAAAGTCTGGCTTTCGTCCTCACCAGTTTTCCCCAGTTCTCATGAAGGTTATCAATCACTAGTGTATTGTTAAATCCAGCAGACATTTCTCATTATCTCATCAGTGTCTCAAATCAGTTTCACCCTCTTCTCCACCTTCCGCACCTTGAGACACTCTTCACCCAGGGCTTCTATGATACCAAACTCAAGGTTCTCTCCCACTAAGACCACTCTTCCTGGTCTGTTTTACAGGTTCCCCTTCTTCTCCCCGTATGCTGGACTCCCTTTTCTCTTCCTGGGCAACTTCACTGCTTCAGTTATCATCCGTTCCATAGGCGAATCCAAAAATCTAGATCTGAGATATCTTTTCTGAGCTATAGACCTATGTGTTCAACTGTTTGCTGAAAACAAAACTGAGTAGAGCAGGCTTGGGTGAGTAAAATGGGGAAGGAGGGAGAGACATCAAGAACAATGAGGACTTTCTCTAAGACCCCTTCCAATATGCCCAAGTAATTTATATGGTTTCCCTGTCATTTATATGGTTTCCAATGCTCTCTTTAGTCCTGGCTAAACAACTCTACTTGGATACCCCAAAGTCTCAAATCTCATGATTTAATCTAAAAGTAAATTCATCATTTCCCTCTCCTGCTCCCTGCCCTGCTTCCTTAAAGTATACTCTTACATGGTAAATGATACCATGATGAAACCGGTTACCCAAGCCAGAAATTTGGGGGAACTCCTCCCTCCCTCAATTCATGTATCTTTGGAGACCCAAAGAATCTCCAAGTTCATTTATTCACCTATGCCTCTCCTCTGACACTGCCACCACACTATTTGAAGCTGCCATCTTCTTTTACTGGGTTAACCGCAGCCCTTTCACTGGTCTCCCTGCCTCCAGAATTGTCCTCTTCTACTACATTCGCCATACGGAAGCCAGAACAACTGACCTAAAACAATTGCTCTAAAAACACATTTAATTCTGCCAAGCTCTCTCTTCACACTTTTCCCTAATACTCCACTGACCTTAAGATAATGTCCAGATTCCTTCTCAAGGTTAAAGAGAAACAATAGAGTCTAGGGGATTACAGCAGATCTCTTCAAACATTAAGGTGCTCGGATAGGACCTGGTCCTTGTTAAAATGCAGATTCTGGTTCTGTAGGTCTGGATCAATGCCTGAATTTTTACATGTCTAACAAGATTTCCAGGTGAAGCTAATGATACTTGTTGAAGGACCATGCTTCTCCTGCTAGACTGGCTGGAGCTCAAGTCTTAGGTGTGTCACTCACTTGGTCCAAGAACTTGAAGTCACTTAGCCTCTGTGTGTCTCCTTTGCCTTGTATATAAAATGGAGATCAGGATGGTATACCTTTTTCTTAGGTTTGTTGTGAGGAATAAACATGTTATATTAAAATTATTTGCTGCAGTGCCTAGCACAGAGTAAGTGTTAAGTGCTACTTACTATCATTAGTCAAGACCTTCAATAACTTAGCCTCTCCATTCTTCTCCAAACCAGTTTTTACTATGGCACTGATGTGTGTGCACACACACGCACATACACACACACACACATGCACACTACTGCTCACTCATACCGAATGACCTTTAGATAATTAAGAATAGAGCAAATGCCTCTTTTCTGTCAAGTTCCCATAAGCACTTTTTGGCAGAGCCCTCTGCACACAGCCCTAACTCAACTCGGTCCCCCTCATCTTAATTTAGATCTCAGCTCAGATGATGTATCTTCCAGGAAGTACTTACCATCCTCCATCCGAGTCCACACTTCATACCACTTTTGAGTATGCTCACATCACCAGTGTGCCCTCTGGTCTCAGATTATCTCATTTGTTTATCTGTATCTCCTATAAGACTATCTGTCCCATTAGAGTAAAGGACTGCGGCAATTACTGCTGACTTTCTAGCATCCCACACTCTTTTGCAGGTTGCAGGGATCAGTAAAGAATGAGTGCATTTTTTTTTTTTTAAGATTTTACTTATTTATTTGACAGAGATCACAAGTAAGCAGAGAGGCAGGCAGAGAGGGAGGGGGAAGCAGGCTCCCAGCTAAGCAGAGAGCCTGATGCAGGGCTCGATCCCAGGACCCTGAGATCATGACCTGAGCTGAAGGCAGAGGCTTAACCCACTGAGCCACCCAGTCGCCCCAAGAATGAGTGCATTTTATAGATGCATTTCCAAAGACCTCTAAATGAGAAATGGAGATCGGGAACAGAGAGCTTTAAGATCTGGTTTGAGAAAAGGGAAATATCGGATGTAACCCTCCAAATGCTGCTCTGGGTCGGACTGTTAACACAATGGAAAGGAGAAAAAAATTTTCAAGTTCATAAAATAAATAAACAAGGCTAGTAAGTCAATGAAATGGTGATAGTGTGATACAGAGAAGAGAGTCAAGACTTTGAAGTCTGGTCCATGTTGAGTCTCCTGTGA